ATGGGCTCACAGACCTGTGGACTGACTGTGCAGGTGCCCAGGCAGGAGGAGACCCGAGAGTTCAGATCCCAAGTAACCCTTATGGATTTACCCCCCAAGGACAGGCAGGAAAAATGTTCACAATAGGCACCAAGACTACCTCTGGGAGAATGTGATTGAGATTGAACATGGAACTGGCTACCCTATTTAGAAGACCTCTTGTTAAAAAATCATTAAGGACTTCAAGACAGCAACAGCAGAATAGTAAAGCAGGTGTAGGTCTCTTTTAACTGGTAAGCCTGTGTGTCTGCGCAGGTCCCATGCCCAGGCAGCCAGCCCCAAGAAGCCGGTCTGTTCCACATTTTGTCCTTAGCACTGTACCCTGACAGACTGCAAATGGACAGAACTGCAGAAACTGAAAGTAGGCTTCTTCTTCAGGATAACAACACAGAACAATATAAAATATAGATATGGATAGGGACACTGGAGGCAGGAAAGCACAGAATCTCATCTTGCTTCTGCCAATTCCCAACTGCATGATCTTCGGGCAAAAATGAAAGTTGTCTGAAAAACTCTATTATTTTGGGTAACAGGCAAGAAATAAGCTTTGCCTACTATAAGCCATGTGGGAAACCTCAAGGGAAGTATGTGTTAGTTTAGCAGAGACAGTCAAGGGGTTGTATTGTTGTGATGATGCAGCACTCAGGACTTATCAAGGATTAGCTGGGAATGAAGAAAAACTATAATGAGTCTGGAAGAGTGTTGAGTTTCCGTGTTTGGGCGCAGACAAGAGACGGTGAGACAGAGAACTAACCAGGGAGCACAGAGAAAGGCCAGAAGGAAGCTTGCATGGAGGGGAGACAACAGGAAACTTTGTGGTGCTGAGAATAGCTAATAGACTTTTTTTTTTTTTTTTTTTAAGATTTCTTAGGAGTAAAGTTTCAGTTGCATTTTGTCCAGGGCTGTACCTCAAGAGTGCTCCCTCCCTGCACTTACCCAGAGGCCCACAGCTTCACAGCCTACAATATCTTGTGTTAGTGGCAATTTGGAGAACTAAAGACATTAGGATAACATCTAAATGAGGGCAAGTGGTACAGAGAAGTAGTGATATACAGAATGGAAATTGGGAATTTGCTGGGAGCTGGATGTTGAGGCCCAAAGTGCTTAATCTTGCAAGAACATTCAGAGATGTTGGGGGTGGGGGAGGAGGGTAATGGGTGATTTGCCACTTGTTGGATAGTGTTGAAGACAATTTTATTTTATTATTAGAGAACCAGGAAACTCCACCAGGGAGCTCCGGGGACACAGAGGGATTGACATCTGGGCTCCCGTTTTAGACTGGACAACAGAATTGTTGTTTTGAAATTAAACAAAAAAATATGCAATGTGCTTAGTGTACTAACTAGTGAGAGTAGGTGTTCCATAACTATGAGCTTCCTTCCCATTTTCCCTCATCACTTACGGAGGAACAAAGAGAGAGATGAGACATGGGCATGGCTCCAAATACAAGATTTTCCTCTTCTTCAATCATTTTCAATTTCCCAAAGTGATTCATTCATCGGTCAGGAACTACAGCGTGTTGCTTTTGCCAGAGCCAGAGCTCCTGTAACTTGCTTCCATCCCAGTACCCCAGGAAAAGAGGAGGTACTCACCATGAAAACATACAGGGACATGAAGCCGTTCTCTGTCTTCTCAAAAGTGCCGCAGTGAAAGAGATTGTATCGGAAACTATTCAAGTGGCTTGTAGTGAAATAGGTCCCCAGTGCAGCCAAGACAGAGCTGGAGATGTTTAACCCCAGGCTACTTCTGATCTAGGACGGAAGGAAAATCGATTCAGCAATCTGGTGGTATCCCCAGGGGTGTCACCAACAGGTACTCCACACCCCTCATTTCTGTCTCCACAGTCCAGCTGACCCATCACAAACAGTCACTGTGCTGTTTCCTCACTGGTCTCTCCCCTCACAGCTGCCCATGCACAAACATGATCCTGTGGTTTCCAAGCTTGAATCCTTCAGACAACCCCCATGCACATGAGATAAACTCTTTTTTCCATGTTAACTAGACAGTTCTGTCCATGCCCATCTCCTTCCCTGCTCTGTGCTGGGTACCTGGCTGCGCATTATTTCCCAACTGTGGCCTCCACGCTTTTTGCGTACGACCTCCCTCTGCTCTGTATTCCTTTCCTGCATTCTCTTCCTGTGGAAGCTTATTATAAGAATGAAAATTCTCCAAGAAAGCATGAGAAGTTGAGTGTGGCTGTAGCACGAGGGGGATTTTAATGGTCATAGCTGGACCAGATGCTATGGAGACACACAGGTCAGATTTGAAAAAGCCATAAAGATCATGCTCCGTAATCTGATCTTTATCCTTTGAGCAAAGAAAATGCAAATATGGCCTTTAGTGAGCAAAAACATATGTTGAGATCTGGGCTTTTAACTTTTCTTGGCTTTGTGAAAGACCTATCGGCATGAGAGTTGTATTGTAAATTTGCTTTTCCTTATTTAATGGCCTTATTGGGAATTTCTTTCATTGCAAACCAAATGAAAATCCTTTCCATAAGCAGAGAGAATACACATTTTAATTAATAAATCAACAAAGATTATAACCCACCAACACTTGGTGTCACTGTTATGGATTGGATCTCAAGCTGCAACGTCTGTTTGGTCAGTTCCATTAGAGATTCCTTTTCAGAAATTCTCTGTATTTTCATAAAGATTTTCTCAACACTGCCTTCCCAAACTCTTCATGGTCACATCATTAATTTTATGAGCAGCCAATTTTTTTGTATTATCATTTCTGAAAGACCAATGCAACTATGTAAAACAATCTCTCCTGATTTTTAAAAAACAAAACCCCTCTTGTACTCTGGCAGAACAAACATTTGAATAGTCCTTCTTCTTCTGGGACCAAAATAAGCAAACAGATTAAAAGAAAAAAAAAAGGAAATATTACTCACCAGACCTTTTGTAGTTTTAGTCCCTGCTACAATTGACAAGGACCCTGAAACAATAAACTAGTAACAAGAGGAAAAATAAATGTGGGTAGAAAAACTTTAAACAAATATTTGAAGTCAAAACTTACTAAAACTTACCCCTAACTGTGATAAATTTGTAAAAAGATCAATCATGTTGGGAGAAACACAAAAGATTGTAAATAACTCTCCTCTTCTCCCGGAAAGAACAGAGAAACTCTACCAGATAGATTCACAGGAGAAGTTTTCAAGCCTCTCAGAAAAATGTCTAATTGCAATTGTATTTAAACATCTGAGGTCCTTGAAATACAAAGAAAGCTCCTAAATTCCTGATATGAAGGAACCCTAATATGGTACCCAAATTTAATAAGATTTTAGAAAAGAAAAGAAAGTAAAGATCGTTTTTATTTAAAATGACTATTAAAAGTTATAAACAAAGTCGTAGCAATGAAAGTTTTAAAATTCCATATTAGATGCTGATTATTTTAAAAAGTTTTTAATAATATACTATTCCATTTGGTTCCATCAGTTGGGTGATTGTTTTCCATTTACCTAAAACAGCTAGAATCAAGTTGATTGGATTCCCCCCCCCCCGCCCCTGCCTTAAATTATTTGCCTGTTTGAATTTCTGGGTTTGCTTTCCAATTTGATTTCAGGAGTTTCAAAAATTGCATCTTAATATCAAACAAAGACTGATCTAATGAAACAGCTTGGTAAATTTCTTCAAAATGTTTAAAAATTCAAAGACATGGAGATGGTAAAGGTTAACTAAGTCACCTCCGGAAAAAAATAGCAGCAAGAATCATCCATTATATTATATGAAATGAATCATGACTATGTGGGATATTCCTTTAAATGTCCAGGTTTTTAAAATATTGATTAGTATTATAATTTATAAATACAAATTTAAGGAGAAAATTCACATCAAATTATTATTCATGTTTACAATGTTAAGACATTTAATAGAATTCAACACTATTATGACTTAAACATTCTTTTTTTTTTGACAGTTGAAAGAAGATAAAAGAGGTTTTATTTTTTTAATTATTTATTTCTTTTCAGCGTAACAGTATTCATTGTTTTTGAACCACACCCAGTGCTCCATGCAATCTGTGCCCTCCCTAATACCCACCACCTGGTTCCCCCAACCTCCCACTCCCCCACCCCTTCAAAACCCTCAGGTTGTTTTTCAGAGTCCATAGTCTCTCCTGGTTCACCTCCCCTTCCAATTTCCCTCAACTCTCTTCTCCTCTCCATCTCCCCTTGTCCTCCATGTTATTTGTTATGCTCCACAAATAAGTGAAACCATATGATAATTGACTCTCTCTGCTTGACTTATTTCACTATAGCATAATCTCTTCCAGTCCCGTCCATGTTGCTACAAAAGTTGGGTATTCATCCTTTCTGATGGAGGCATAATATTCCATAGTGCATATGGACCACATCTTCCTTATCCATTCGTCTGTTGAAGGGCATCTTGGTTCTTTCCAGTTTGGTGACCGTGGCCATTGCTGCTATAAACATTGTGGTACAGATGGCCCTTCTTTTCACTACATCTGTATCTTTGGGGTAAATACCCAGTAGTGTAATTGCAGGGTCATAGGGAAGCTCTATTTTTAATTTATAAGATATAAAGAGTTTCATCTTCCATACATAATGGAACATTTGTCTTGGTCTGGAAGTCTTTATCATATTTAATGAGGAAACACTAGGGCCATCTCTATTAAAGTCAAAATCAAGATAAAAGATAAAAGTGTAGATGAACAGATATTACTCTTCTTAGTATATTAACCAAAATAACTATGTAAGAAAAATATTTGAGGAAAATGTTTACAGTTACAGCTGTTTACATGTGAATGCGTTATGCTGAGGATCTCCAAGAATATCAACTAAAGGCTACTATAAACTTTAAGAAAAATTAGTAAGGTATATGGGAAGAACATTATATACAGAAATTATATATAAATACATATGTATTTGTGTGTGTGTGTGTGTGTGTGTGTGTGTGTGTGTGTGTGTGTGTGTGTAAAGATTTAACTATTTGAGAGAGAAAGAGGGAGAAAGATTGAATCCGCTCTGAACCTGGGGAGAACTCTGGACTCCGACTACGCTCCCCTCCAGCAGTTCTTCGTGGTGATGGAGCACTGCCTGAAACACGGCCTGAAGGCTAAGAAAACCTTTCTTGGACAAAATAAATCCTTCTGGGGGCCTCTAGAATTGGTAAAAAAAGCTTGTTCCAGAAGCTGCAGAGATAACAGCAAGTGTTAAAGATCTTCCAGGACTTAAGACACCAGTAGGCAGAGGAAGAGCCTGGCTTCGTTTGGCATTAATGCAAAAGAAGCTCTCAGAATATATGAAAGCTTTGATCAATAAGAAGGAACTTCTCAGTGAATTCTACGAACCCAATGCCCTCATGATGGAAGAAGAAGGAGCCATAATTGCTGGTCTCTTGGTGGGTCTGAATGTCATTGATGCCAATTTTTGCATGAAAGGAGAAGACTTGGACTCTCAGTTTGGAGTTATAGATTTTTCAATGTATCTCAAGGATGGGAACAGCAGTAAAGGTAGTGAAGGAGATGGCCAGATTACTGCAATTCTGGATCAGAAGAACTATGTAGAAGAACTCAACAGACACCTAAATGCTACGGTAAACAATCTTCAGGCAAAAGTGGATGCGTTAGAAAAATCCAACACTAAACTGACAGAGGAGCTTGCAGTTGCAAACAACAGGATTATTACCTTACAAGAAGAAATGGAACGAGTTAAAGAGGAAAGCTCCTACATACTGGAATCCAGTCGGAAGGGTCCTAAGCAGGACAGAACTGCAGAAGGGCAAGCACTGAGTGAAGCCAGAAAGCATTTGAAGGAGGAGACACAATTGCGACTGGATGTGGAGAAGGAACTGGAGATCCAGATCAGCATGAGACAGGAGATGGAGTTGGCTATGAAGATGCTGGAGAAGGATGTCTGCGAGAAGCAGGACGCCCTGGTGTCTCTGCGGCAGCAGCTGGATGACCTCAGGGCTCTCAAGCATGAACTTGCCTTCAAGCTGCAGAGTTCAGACTTAGGAGTAAAACAGAAAAGTGAACTAAACAGTCGTTTGGAAGAGAAGACTAATCAGATGGCTGCTACCATCAAACAACTCAAGCAAAGATTGCGCCAGGCTGAGCGGGGCCGCCAGTCGGCCGAGTCAGAAAACTGGCTCTTCAAGCAGGACTTCGGAGACAAGATAAACAGTCTGCAGCTGCAAGTGGACCAGCTCACCAGGCAGCGGCACCAGCTTGAGTTAGAACTAAAACTGGAAAGAGAAAGAAGGTTACAGAACAACAGGAGCATCCCAGGAAAGGGTCCTCAGAAGCCACAACCCAAAATGGACGGGAAGCACAGAATTCAAGAGGAAAATGTTAAACCAAAAGAGGCCCTGGACGAAAGCCACAGGCTGCCGTCTCACCCTGTGGATGAACAGAATCAGCTGCTGCTCTCTGAGAAGCCACAGACGTGTCAGCTATGCTGGGAAGACGGCAGCCGAACCAAGAATGTGTGTAAGAACTGCAGAGGGATCTTCTGTAATGCCTGCTCAACAAACGAACTGCCTCTTCCTTCAAGTATCAAGCCTGAGCGAGTTCTTCTCCTCTCCATCTCCCCTTGTCCTCCATGTTATTTGTTATGCTCCACAAATAAGTGAAACCATATGATAATTGACTCTCTCTGCTTGACTTATTTCACTATAGCATAATCTCTTCCAGTCCCGTCCATGTTGCTACAAAAGTTGGGTATTCATCCTTTCTGATGGAGGCATAATATTCCATAGTGCATATGGACCACATCTTCCTTATCCATTCGTCTGTTGAAGGGCATCTTGGTTCTTTCCAGTTTGGTGACCGTGGCCATTGCTGCTATAAACATTGTGGTACAGATGGCCCTTCTTTTCACTACATCTGTATCTTTGGGGTAAATACCCAGTAGTGTAATTGCAGGGTCATAGGGAAGCTCTATTTTTAATTTATAAGATATAAAGAGTTTCATCTTCCATACATAATGGAACATTTGTCTTGGTCTGGAAGTCTTTATCATATTTAATGAGGAAACACTAGGGCCATCTCTATTAAAGTCAAAATCAAGATAAAAGATAAAAGTGTAGATGAACAGATATTACTCTTCTTAGTATATTAACCAAAATAACTATGTAAGAAAAATATTTGAGGAAAATGTTTACAGTTACAGCTGTTTACATGTGAATGCGTTATGCTGAGGATCTCCAAGAATATCAACTAAAGGCTACTATAAACTTTAAGAAAAATTAGTAAGGTATATGGGAAGAACATTATATACAGAAATTATATATAAATACATATGTATTTGTGTGTGTGTGTGTGTGTGTGTGTGTGTGTGTGTGTGTGTGTGTGTGTAAAGATTTAACTATTTGAGAGAGAAAGAGGGAGAAAGATTGAATCCGCTCTGAACCTGGGGAGAACTCTGGACTCCGACTACGCTCCCCTCCAGCAGTTCTTCGTGGTGATGGAGCACTGCCTGAAACACGGCCTGAAGGCTAAGAAAACCTTTCTTGGACAAAATAAATCCTTCTGGGGGCCTCTAGAATTGGTAAAAAAAGCTTGTTCCAGAAGCTGCAGAGATAACAGCAAGTGTTAAAGATCTTCCAGGACTTAAGACACCAGTAGGCAGAGGAAGAGCCTGGCTTCGTTTGGCATTAATGCAAAAGAAGCTCTCAGAATATATGAAAGCTTTGATCAATAAGAAGGAACTTCTCAGTGAATTCTACGAACCCAATGCCCTCATGATGGAAGAAGAAGGAGCCATAATTGCTGGTCTCTTGGTGGGTCTGAATGTCATTGATGCCAATTTTTGCATGAAAGGAGAAGACTTGGACTCTCAGTTTGGAGTTATAGATTTTTCAATGTATCTCAAGGATGGGAACAGCAGTAAAGGTAGTGAAGGAGATGGCCAGATTACTGCAATTCTGGATCAGAAGAACTATGTAGAAGAACTCAACAGACACCTAAATGCTACGGTAAACAATCTTCAGGCAAAAGTGGATGCGTTAGAAAAATCCAACACTAAACTGACAGAGGAGCTTGCAGTTGCAAACAACAGGATTATTACCTTACAAGAAGAAATGGAACGAGTTAAAGAGGAAAGCTCCTACATACTGGAATCCAGTCGGAAGGGTCCTAAGCAGGACAGAACTGCAGAAGGGCAAGCACTGAGTGAAGCCAGAAAGCATTTGAAGGAGGAGACACAATTGCGACTGGATGTGGAGAAGGAACTGGAGATCCAGATCAGCATGAGACAGGAGATGGAGTTGGCTATGAAGATGCTGGAGAAGGATGTCTGCGAGAAGCAGGACGCCCTGGTGTCTCTGCGGCAGCAGCTGGATGACCTCAGGGCTCTCAAGCATGAACTTGCCTTCAAGCTGCAGAGTTCAGACTTAGGAGTAAAACAGAAAAGTGAACTAAACAGTCGTTTGGAAGAGAAGACTAATCAGATGGCTGCTACCATCAAACAACTCAAGCAAAGATTGCGCCAGGCTGAGCGGGGCCGCCAGTCGGCCGAGTCAGAAAACTGGCTCTTCAAGCAGGACTTCGGAGACAAGATAAACAGTCTGCAGCTGCAAGTGGACCAGCTCACCAGGCAGCGGCACCAGCTTGAGTTAGAACTAAAACTGGAAAGAGAAAGAAGGTTACAGAACAACAGGAGCATCCCAGGAAAGGGTCCTCAGAAGCCACAACCCAAAATGGACGGGAAGCACAGAATTCAAGAGGAAAATGTTAAACCAAAAGAGGCCCTGGACGAAAGCCACAGGCTGCCGTCTCACCCTGTGGATGAACAGAATCAGCTGCTGCTCTCTGAGAAGCCACAGACGTGTCAGCTATGCTGGGAAGACGGCAGCCGAACCAAGAATGTGTGTAAGAACTGCAGAGGGATCTTCTGTAATGCCTGCTCAACAAACGAACTGCCTCTTCCTTCAAGTATCAAGCCTGAGCGAGTCCTGCAATCCCTGCCACGAGCATCTGATGAGACAGTATTCCACCAGCCCATCGTAAGACTGGAAGCCGAGACCTGGACCAGTGTCTCCACCCGTGTTAGATGTCAGGATCTCCTAGAGCCCAGAACTTAGAGTCAGCTCCAACATTGATAGGAATGGTTTAAATAAACCTGGTCCAGGGAGAAAAGGCAGTGGTTGGGGGTGCTGGAAGGTTTGCTCAGTTGCCCTAATGACTGTAGGAATAAAAGTTACTCAGCTGAGCCTCTCTCTTCTAAATCTTAAACAATCCCACCTTTGAAGGCTTTATTTTTTAGCATGTCTTTGGCGGAACTATTTTTATAAATAGTGACAGTACTGGCATGAACATAATAGGAGAGAGGGTCCATACAGATAAGAAAAAAAAATAGGAAAATGATCATCTCCTTCTTTTACATTTGCAGATTCAAGGGGGAAAGATAAATGTTAACTGAGATCAAAATGTAGATGTTTCATATTATCCCTAGGTGCTGCTAGACATAAACGATTTCCTCTTCACCCCCCACCCAACTACCTCTTGAAAGTATCTCTACCAAACTGTGAACCCAAACTCAGGGAAAAGAAATTACAGAGTAATATAAATTTTGAATGTACTTAAAACAATGTAATTTATTTACATTTTAATGTAATTTAATTACATAAATTACATACAATGTAATTTAATTACATTTACTAGAAAGGTCCTGGCCTTACAAGTGTTTTCAGTATCAGAATAAGAGGAACATTTGCCATTTCTCCACTTAATGACTTCAGAAATAAGTATCTGCCCTTTTCAGAATGTCCTCCTGCAAAATAGAAGCCAGCTCCCTTCCTAAACCTTCCCTGCTCTCCCAAGTCATAATGACAACTGTGTTTTAAAGATAAGGTTTGAGTTTTGCAAATAGGAGGTATTGAAAGCAAAGGTTTGTCAGGTGTAAAGTAAAATAATTTTAATTTGTCCGTGGCTGAGATCAGTTAGCTCAGAATATTTATTTTCTTGAATAAGGGGTACCTTTCTCTGAGCCAATAATTAGAACTGGTTGGTAGACAGATTTTTTGGAAAGTGTGATACTTAAAACATCTCTTCATATCAAACCCTTTGGGGAAAATTGGGGGAAGTGCCTTCCACAAGGGAAGAAAAACTTTGGTATGTGCTATTTTCATTATGTTACATGTGTCTAGGTTATTAATTACAATTAAGACCTAAGAAGATGCAGATTCTGTAACCGGTTTAGAATTCTGGGGTGGAAACATCCTGGAACCATCATACTTGATAAATTCTCCTCAAAAGGGTTATAGCCTGGGAAAGAGTTGTTATTCCAAAAGTCTGGCCTGTTACATGGTGAAGCTGAGCTTTTAAAAGTACTAGGGAAAAATAAAATCTAATAATTCTAAAAAAAGGGGGGGGAGGGGCAGAGGGAGAGGGAGAGAGAGAGAGAATCTCAAGTGGTCTCCTCACTGAAGGCAGAGCCTGATGTAGGGCTCAGTCTCATGACTATGACTATGAGATCATGACCTGAGCTGAAATCAGGAGTCTGATGCCTAAATGACTAAGTCCCCCAGGTGCCCTTGTATTTCTGTGTTTAAAACACAGAATTTAATATCACAGCAAAAAATATATTAAGTTTCCAAGAGAAAAAAAAAAAAACTTAAAAGACTGTGAACAGTGTATATGAGTAAAACTTTACGGTGTTCCAAAAGTCCACAGAAGAAAACTTGAACAGATAGACTCATGAGGGAATAATTTTATAGCATTCTGAAAAAAGACATACAGCTGTACTGGAAACTAAATTGTCAAAGATAAGAGATATTTGTGATTCGTTCTTGGTATTGGTTGTTGTACTGTATAAGAGAGTAAAGGGAAAATAAGGTTGAAAGAATAATGGAAGGTCGCAGCAAAAATATTCCACCAATTAAATAAAGACTGATCTAGTGGGATTCCTATGATGGTTTGAGTGATAGCTCAATTGACAAACATAGCTCCTGCAGTTCCTGGAAATTTATGGAACCTGTGTAGAGGACATAAATTATGAGAACTGGTTTCCAAAGGAGTGTTGAAAAGGAAATTAGGGGTGCCTGGGTGGCTCAGTGGGTTAAGCCTCTGCCTTTGGCTCAGGTCATGATCTCAGGGTCCTGGGACTGAGCCCTGCATCAGGCTCTCTGCCTGCTTCCCCCCCACCCCCCACCTGCTTCTCTGCCTACTTGAGATCTCTCTCTCTGTGTCAAATAAGGAAATAAAATCTTAAAAAAAAAAAGGGAAAGTAAAGGGGAAGCAGAACGTGTGAGTGGCTGATGTCTGCAAGACTGAAATCAGAACGACCCTGTTTGAGCCCTGATTCCTATACCAAATAAAAGCATGATCTTGAGCAAATCATTTAATTTCTCCAAGTCCCAGTTTCTTCATCCACAAAATGAGGACAATGGTAAATCTTTTCTCAGAAGTCTGTGATGGTTGCACAAATGGAACTGAATACATAATTCACTTAAAATAGTGCCCAGATTATGGTAAGTTTGAATAAAAGCCATTATTGACATTAGTATCATCAGACGTGTAAAGCATGGTACAAATGCCCAGGAGTAACACAGTGTATGCTGTTCTTTAAATCTTGCACTTCTTCTGTAAACAGGCAAAGATGAACAAAAAGCCAACTCTGTAATAAAACTCTAAACTCTCTCATTCTCAACGTTGTAGATGAATGGAAACCCTACAATACTTGAACAGGGTTTTCTGGTTCTAACATAAACTTATTTTCCTCTTGTCTCTTGATATTTTGCGTTCTGTTTACATTCTTAATTTGCAGAGAAACTCCCTTGCATTTTATGTTAAGGGAAAAAAATTTAAAACTTTCTTAAATTTTCACTTAATCTTACAGTTATTTTTGTTAAATTTATGAAACAATTTATCTAATAGCAGCTCCATTTGTTAAGATTTGATAGCTGATTATAAATTGCCTGCATACCAGCCATGTCTCTTCTTTCTTGTTAATGAAATCCTCATTTTGTTCATGAGGTCAGTGAGCCCTTCCCAGCCTAACTGAGAAGTAAATTTCAATTAGTCCAAGCCAACAATGGCAAATCCATTACCTTTGCCCAGAGTTGGTTTGGGAATATAAAGGATTTATGCACACAAAACATTTATGAACAATGAGATGTATCCAGTCTGACACGATATGCCAGCCATCCTCAATGAGGTTCTTGCACTCCTGAACTAACCAACCCTGGTAATGACTAGCCACTGGGTTTCTAGTTGTGAAAAATCAATGCTTTCAATGTTTAATACATTCTGTTTGGGTCTTTTGCTATATGCTGCTGTAATATACCATACTAAACATTTAATCTTCCCAGCTTTCTATGAGTCTTTTATTATTATTCCTATTTTAAATGTGAGAAAATGGAGTCAAAAGGAGATTAGATACCTTTCTCAAAGTTATAGAACAGCAAAAGAGAGTTAGATATGATTCTAAAGCTCAAGACATTAACAACAAAGTTATGTTGTCTCCAACGATATCAAAAGGTGAGCGACCCCACAATTTTGTACACCTCATGCTCTAACAAATAATGATACTCATTGAATGGAAATGTGACATTAATGTTTATTATTCCCAGGCTGAGGTTCATCAGGGCAATCAGGATCTGCACAACCTAGAAATGATGAAGAAAGTAAAGACTGATTATCTGTCACCCTCTTTCCAACCACTAAGTTCCCCCTCTTCTCCATCTTCTGATATGATAGATGGTTTTGATATTTTCCTGTCATTTTTCTTTCATATAAAGATCTATGGGTATATTACTAAAACTGTCTCTTGGGATATCCATCCCAAATGTCCCAGTCATTTTCAAGGTAAAAAGAATGAACCAGGACCTACCCAGAGGTGCTTTACTGACCCCTGTGGTGTTACTCCTACAGCAGCTCTTGCTCTCCTTTGCTCAGATGGGAGTGACTCAGGAATTAGGAAGCAAGGAAAAATAATGTGAAGGAAGGAGCATGTGTATAGGTGAAGCAAAAGAAAAGAGCAATATGAGCTTTTCTCGGCATCTAGGATCTGAAAATAGAGGCATTAGATTACAGTTATCCCATGGCATAAAAAGGATACAAAGTGTCATAATGATTTGGTCCCATTGGTTTAAAGCTTGGGCTAGAGATCAATGTCTGTATTCACTCTCCTTCCACCTGCACTAATCTGTCTTTCTTTAAACTGTCCATTTCTTTTAGGCACACTCACCTGAGACTCTGAACAGAAATGCACAGAGAATAAAAGAATTTTCATCCTCTGAGGAGCAGTCTGAGAAAATTTCCCAGAGACAGTAACAATGTGGGGTAATCAGCTTTCAGAAAAAACTGTTGGATGGACACCAGCTAGTGTACATGTGGCCTTTTCTTTTGCTGCTATTCCCTGCTGAAGTTAAAGTTATCATGGATGATCCACAAACTTAGAATAGATCTGAAGTCACTATGTTTTAAATACAATGAGATTAGAAGCATGATGTAATAGAATATTGTACCATTTTGACTAATAGGGCCTGAGTGTCAGATACCAATGTCCCTTGGGCAGGCTGATGTATTATAAGGTTAATGGGACAAAGTATTTGTCATTAAAACTGATCAGCTGTGAGTTTACAATACAACTGGTCTACTTCCGGATCTGCAACTGACTTACCCCGAGGACTTTAGGTTCCCCCTTCAAGAACTTCTCTGGCATCCATTTCCACTGATGTGGGTATAGAACCACAGACTTCTCTGGCTGGTGCACATCAGGGCCAGCCCCTGTGGTCCCTTCTAGTCCTTGTGTGGTTGCCATGGCAGCAGAAAAGGAGCTACAATAAGAAATGTAATTTAGGATGAGGTCCTGTTAATGACAGGACAAACTATGGTCTACATTCCCTAGTTTTATTATAACAGCTATTAGAACATCTTTGCAAAATGTAGTTATTGCAAACATCAGCCAGGAAAGTGGAAGAAACAACTTAAGGAGAGAAACAGAGAGAAAGAAATGCTATGTGTCATCAAGATGCTAGAAAGTACTTGGGGCGCCTGGGTGGCTCAGTGGGTTAAGCTACTGCCTTCGGCTCAGGTCATGATCTCAGGTCCTTGGGATCGAGTCCCGCATCTGGCTCTCTGCTCAGCAGGGAGCCTGCTTCCCTCTCTCTCTCTCTCTCTGCCTGCCTCTCCATCTACTTGTGATCTCTCTCTGTCAAATAAATAAATAAAATCTTAAAAAAAAAAAA